TGTGAAAAGAACGGAGAAGTTTGAAGTTATGAGGATTATCATTAGAATGAATCTCAGAAAGCAACAGGTTCTCAGTCATCTAAGAAAAATAAAATCATTTTGGGAATCCTCAAATTACTTATAATGAGTTTCCTAAGATTTAGGGAGGCTGGGCATGGGGGAGAGGAATGAATTCAGAGGCTTGAGAAGAACGGAGAAGTTTGAAGTTATGAGGATTATCATTAGAATGAATCTCAGAAAGCAACAGGTTCTCAGTCATCTAAGAAAAATAAAATCATTTTGGGAATCCTCAAATTACTTATAATGGGAGTTTCCTAAGGCCACCATAACAATGCACTACAAAGTGGGTGGCTCACAACAACCGGGAGAGAAATTTACTCCCTCACAGTTCTAGAGGTGACAAGCCTCAAGTCACCAGGGTCAGCCCCTGAGGAGGCCCAGGAGAAGTTCCTTCCTTGACTCTTCTGGCTCCTGGGAGTTGCCAGCAATCCTTGGGGTCCCTTGACATTCCATGGCCTGTAGATGCATCACTAAAACCTCTGCCTCTGTCTTCATGTGACCTTTTCTCCTATGTCGTTGTCTCCAAAGTTTTGTCCTTTTATAAGGACACCAGTCATTGGATGAGGGCGCATCCTAATCTAATATGACCTCGTCTTAACTTGTGTACATCTGTAAGGACTCTACTTCCAAATAAGGCAACATTCACAGGTTTCAGATAGACATGTATTTTGGGGGGACACTATTCAAGCCAGTATATTACTAAGGCATGAGATTATTTTAATGCATTTTAGAAGTATTTAGAAGATGAAAACAAAAATGTCTTTAGCAGCTAACATTTATAGGCCTCACGTGTCTCCTAGGCTCAGTGTCACATACTCCTGACAACACCTGTTGTAGCATCTCTACTGTTCCCGCGTTACAAGTGAGGAAACAGAGGCTATGGGCAGATGAATGACTCAATCAAGGTGAGATCCTGGCATTGTGGACTCAGGCACTGTGACTTCAGAGACCACCTTTAAAGCTCGGTTGGCTCTGTTGCCTTTTCCCAGGGAATCCTAAATTAATCAGAACACTTCCTCAGCTATTTATCTACGTCAGAAACTTCCCTTTTCCACCAACATTCTTTGCTAATATCTTTTTCTCTACATACAGCTCTTGATTCTTCAGCATGTCTATAGCTCTGTGCATGGGAGAAGAAGTCTACTGTTTGCCATTGGGGCTGGAAAAATACAGCTCTCCCTTTTCCACTAACTTCCAGGCTTGGCTTTGTTTACGCAGGTCCATGGCACCCAATTCATGGAGTTCTCAGAAGTGGAGAACCAGGATGACTACTATAGCACCGAAGCTGGCTACGTCCACACCCAGGACCAGCAAGGGGTGTATGTCATGTATGACGAGGCCTTGAGTGACCTGAAGGAACTAGAGGCAGAACTGCTGCTGTTGGCCAGCCATTACATTGAGAAAGAAAAAGGTCAGAAATCAGATTTGAAAAAATCAGCCAACCAAACAAACAAAAAACACTAAGGGGCTTAATTTAACAACCCCCATCTCAAAATATAAATGCAATAATTCAATAAGCACATACACCTTCCCAACACACACCCACATTAGAAAAGATAGGGCTCTGTGTCAGCCTAAGTGCCCCTTTTGTTGGAGACTGACTACTCTCTCAGGGTTTGGTTATAATTCTTACTGTTGTTTAGACTCGTTGCCCAGTGACATTTCTGCATCACCCAGTGGGTGCAGAGATTGTCATGCAGGGCCCTGAGGGAAGCAAAGGAAGCCATGAAATCAATTTTTTTTCTAAGTAACAAAAAAATGTGATTGGCCTTGGGAAACTGCAGTTAGAAACAGGGACATCCCTGGGTTCATAACAGAAAACCACTAGATGCGAGAAGATCTGGCTCAGAAGATGCCAGACAAGCCCCAGAGGGAGAAACCATTACTCAGGGTAATTGAATAACCGTTAGTCTGTATTCACTCTCCCTTCTGGCACTACTCAAATGTACCCAATTTTAGAATAGGCGCGGTAAGAATATTTCTTTTGAAATAATATGACAGCATTAGCATACATTGGAAAAGAACTTAAGAGTTTCTAGATATATTGCAATACCTTAAGGAAAGATAGCAAGGGTTTATGCTATTTTGTAATATATTAGACTATAATTAAAGACCATTCATATTCACATTGTTATAAAATCCTGCTTGAGGACTGTTTGACAATTAACCTTTCAGATCCTAGGCAGAATTAATTCACTATTGGCTTGAACTCTGTCCTATCTTTGCCACCGACCATCTGGGATCTGACTCAGGAAGCAGCAATGGCATCCACCATTCCAGGGCATTCGATTTCAGCTCTTAGCCTTTATCTTTACTGCTTATCCTACATATGAATGCATCACTTTTGTTGGTAATGATTTATAATACCAAGCAACTATTTCCAGCTGCTAAGAATTTAATTGGATTGAAACACGTAGTAGTCATTTAGCTCCATGAAAATCTTTTAGCTGAGCTAATTGGTATAAGTCATTCATGGTGATGATTTCCATGATTTTCCTGCTGCTAAGAAAACTCCTGATCAAAGTCTTTCTCTTGTGTTCAGTAGCCATCATAAACCTGATAATTATTGAATTCAAACTTTAGCCCCTGAAAAGCTCTTACTGTTAAATATTTCATTCTGAAATCGATCACTTAAAAATGTAAAGCAATAATAATGCTGATAATGAAAACGAACATTAATATATTGGACAAATATTTCTGCTGAATAATGACAATGATTACATTTATTTATATAGGTTAGTGATTGATGTAATTAAATAACATCTTAGAAACTTCTCTGAAAATTTTGACTTGGCTAACATTAATTGAAGTAGCAGGTGGAACTGGGTTTGTTTTTAAACCACCAGGAACCTGGTTTTAGAAAAGAAAAAAATTATGTTTTGCCTTTAAATTACAGGTTTGAGAATATTTTAGTGAAGGTTTCATGTTAATTGAATTTGGTTGTATTTCCAAAATTAGTCTTTAAACCTGAAATTGGAAAGGCAAAAGAAGAATCCCTGTTGACTAAGTCAACAGTATGAGCTTTGGGCTTTGTGTTTGCTGATGGCGCCTTAATGATTTAGAGACCAGTTGCCATCCCGTTTTCTTTCCTAAAACGGAGCTGATGATCCGAGGGCGCATTTCTAATAGGAACAGCTTCGTGGAGAGAGGTCTGGCCCTGGTCATTGTCATCCCTTCTCTTCCAGGTCACAAAGAGGGCAGCAAGCCAAATGCTGGCCAGGTCTGGGAATGGGCCCATGCAGGAGTGGACAGATTTGCTGTGCTGTGTGACCTGTGGACTTGGGAGGCAGCCCTTCTAGAAAACAAGCGCCAGGTATTCTTGCCTAGAAAACAAACTGTTTATAAAACTCAATACTTTTAAAAACTCAGTGGGTCTTTCCTGACAGCTCCCTTTTCAGTGAGAATGAGAGATGACTCCATTCATATTCCTTGTCCTGTCAGGACAGCCCTCAGTCTACAAACACAGACAGACTGACGACCTTTGTGGCCTGCAGAAGTGTATGCCCCATGTGGGTGCATGAGAGCAGGGGGTAATGCGTGCCGAGTGCAACAAGTTACAGGGTAAATTTAAAGCAATAAGACAGTGAGTTACTAAATCACCATCCTGTCGTTGGTGGTTCATATCCCAGTAATAAATGACAAATGGCTTCTTAGCATGTGTTGTTGCCCTTTTAATAATCTCTAACTGTTGGGAATTTATTCATCAAATATTAAGTATTTACTCTGCACCGGGTACTGTTCCAGGCACTGGGAACATATAGGCACAAGAGAATATGTATAAGGAATTTGTAGCCTGTAAACATTGATCTGATCTCTAAGCAAAATTATAAGCCAGTGGCACATGCAAGAGCCTTGGGGACCCCAGTGGAGGGGGGATCTGCCCTAGGGAGGGAGCAGGGGGGCGCTGCCAGAGTAAAGGAAATGTTCCCAAGTCTTCCCAGGGGAATAGGTATTTAACCTGGTTACTAACAGGTGCGTAAGGTATTGTCAGTCAGAGAAGGAAATATTCGTAAGCAGACGAAACAGCATTTGCAATGTTGGGGCGGTCTCACATGGGGGAGGGGGAGTCTGGAGAGGGGCAGGAAGACTGCTCTGGCTCGGAGGCAAAGGGGTGCTGGGAAACAAGGTGAACCTGTGTTTTGGGTGCAGCCTGGGAAGGGCCTGCTGACCCACGCTTCATTTAGAGTTTATCTTATAAGCAAGGAAAGCCGTCGGTGAGTTTCAGCAGGGGAGAAACACGGTCACAGCTTTGTTTTCATGTGGTAGCTGTGTGGTGTCAGTGCGGAGGATGGCGGAATGGAAAGCTCCTGGGGGAAGAAGTGCAGGTATTGCAACAGGTACCTGAGCGTCGGGAGGAGGCCCCAAGCCGCCGAGGGTGTAGCCATGGGACTAGGAAGGAGGAGCAGGCTGAGAGCTCTTTAGGGAAGTGGAGAGGGCAGTGGGTGCTGGAGGGAGAGAGTAAGGATGGAGCTGAAATGACTTCCTAGGGGTCGGGGACGCGGCTATCAACTGGCACAGCCGCAGAGGCCCGCTGGGGGGAATAACACTGAGTCTGGGGTGCAAGGCCTGTGGGAGACTGTTCTGAAGCCGGGCGTGGATGTTTGGTGGGTGCTTGTCGTTTTGAAACTCAGGAGCAGGTCTGAGCTGAGGTAGGAATGTGGAAGTTGGACCACAGTAATGAGTCGAAATGACTAGAAAAAGCCAGAGATGTCTGAAGTGGGCCCCTGGGTCACCCCTTCAAGGGTAAAGTCATAGCATAAGAATCCATGAGAGGAACCAAAAGTAGCCAAAGAGACTGAAGAGAAATGGAAGGAATCGTGTTATGAAAGTCAACGGGAAAGATGTGTCTTAATTAGAAGAAGATAGCCACTAGTGTGGAGTGCAGTGAAATATCAGAAAGACAGCTCCTAAAGCCAGGCGGCAGGCCAGCCATCGGAGGTCATGGCCAGCTCTGCAGGCTCTCCGAAGATTTACGGGGTGGGAGCCAGGATACCATATGATGTGGTCAGACAGGGGAAGTGGAAATGTTTTCTTGGAATTGTTTTTCTGGTATTAGATGGTTTACCATTTCATCTACTCTCTGGTGTGTTACTCATGGAGATGTAGGTCACCCAATTAAAAACAACAAAACTAGCTGAGCTTAAAGGGTGCAAACCCTGGGCTTTGAATGCGGTTCCTCTTTTTGAAGATAACTGACCTTTAGAGTTTGCATCTGCAACCTTGATCAGCCAGTTAGAACCATAAGATCAACTGAGGAAATGAGGGATTTAGGCTCAGAGTATAGTAACCGGAAAGGCCGCATTAATTGTAAATAAGACAGACTCCTCAAACTCGACAAGTGTATTCATCCAGACAGGAGTTTTAAAGAAATCATTTTAACTTAAAACAATCACTGCTAATTCCTTTCTACCCCGAGAATAAGTTCCCCGTAGAAACTGAGCTGTCTGTGCCAAAACTGTAACACGGGACCTCCTAAGTCAGAAATCCTGTCGAAAGAGCCTATTTTGAATGGATAAACCGGACTTTTATCTGGAGTGTGGTTGGTTTTCCCCAGCATTGGTTCTGCTGCCAAGTTTCCTCAGCTGGTTTTGATTGTTAAATTACTGGAATCACTAGAATGTTAAGAATTGCTCGAACACATTGGGTTGTCTTAAATCCTTAAAGTGACCATATTATGTATAAATGCTCATAACATCAGAGCTGGTGTGAATTTAGGTTGATTAAGGGACTCTTAGAGGAACCAGATATCCGAGGTGCCAGCTCCTGAGTGATACTTGTACCAACTGCTAATTCTCTCCACAGCCACCAGAGGACACATTTTCAGTTGATTTTGTGTTTGGAGCACTTAAAAAAAAAATCTGTTGACAGGCTGCATCTAGCATTGGTTTTCTGTTTTGCACTTTCATTTGACCTGAAATACTAATATTTACTTTTTTTAAAATCCCAGAAATAGAGAAAAGTTTGAGTTAAAAATAATATAGCCCTGGCCGGTTTGACTCAGTAGATAGAGCGCAGACTGAAGGGTCTTGGGTTCAATTCCCAGCAGGAGCACATACCTGAGGTGCAGGCTCAATCCCCAGCCCCGGCCAGGGTACATGAGGGAGGCAACCAATCAATGTGTCTCTCTCACTCTCTCTGTCTCTCCCCCTCCCTTCCCCTCTCTTTAAAAAAATCAGTGGAAACATATCCCTTAGGTGAGGATTAACAAATAATAATAAATAATAACAAATAATAATAATATAAACAAAGTAAGTTTTGAGATGATTCATTTTGGCTATTTTTCTATTTTCTCCAATATTCTATGCCTACCACAGTGTGTACCTGAGAGTTGGCCTTTGACACACACAGGTGACATTTGACAGGCTAGGAAGACTTCTTAGACAAACACCAGCCCAGAGTTTAAATGGAAGTGGGCCAGTTAGCAAACAGGTAATAAAGAGAACCTGTGAGGTGGAAAGATCACCGTCCTACCCCTGGGGAAAAAATTCATGATAAAATTATGCAAGCATCCATCCGAGAACGTCTCGAGATTGGAGCCGAAGCTTGAGAAGGCCTTGCCAGTTTAAAAAGAGCGCCATGAGCTCCTTCTCAACAACTAGGGTTGCAGGGAAAATATGACACTATTTGGGACGTATTTAACTGAAAAAAATATTCATTGTTTATCAGAAATTAAAATTTAACTAGATAACCTGCATCCTTATTTGCTAAACCTGTCAATCCTATTAGCAACTAAAGTAAGTGTGGCCATTTAGCTCCGGCCTCTGCAACCTGGTATCACCAAATTTGGAATCACTGGCAAGAAGGAGGGTGGCAAAGGGGAAGGGAAGATATAGGGAACATCTGCAATAGAGTCAACAATAAATAAATAAATAAATATAAAAGAACCCTCCCTTTAAACTTCGCCTGCCAAATTACCAAACAATCGGGCTCTTTGTACAAAAACAGGTCAGGGCAATACAAATGCAACAAACTAGCTGCTGGGATTGCCCTGGCCCAGCAAAATGGTTCAAGTTAGTCCAGAATGATTTAGAGAAGTAATTGTTTCATTCCTACTCTCCCCCTAGACCCAAGGTCGGCAAGCCACATGCAGCTCTTTAGCCCCTTGAGTGTGGCTCTTCCTAAGCCTTAGGAGTACCCTAATTAAGTTAATAACAATGTACCTACCTATATACTTTCAGTTTAAAAAATTTGGCTCTCAAAATAAATTTCAATTGTTGTACTGTTGATATTCGGCTCTGTTGACTAAAGAGTTTGCTGACCACTGGCCTAGACTATTCCAAGTGGTACCCTCCTTACACCAACTCGTCACTCCTGCTTTGTCTTCTGCTACTTAATAATTAAAAGTTACTCCAGAGTAGAACTCTGGGGACAAAACCAGATAATTTAGCTCTCCCTGCAGGGCCAGGCATCTCCACCTTCCGTCATTTCAACTCTGAGGTCTTGGAGTGTCTATGGAGCATTCTACCCAGAGCTTTTAGCCTCCTCTTGTTGACCCAAAGTCCCTTAGGCCAATGTTTCCCAAAGGAGTTCTTGCAAAACCATATGCTACGTAAAGTGCCCCAGGCTCTCCCTCCTTGAGCCTTAGCATTGAGACCTTCAGGTACTGAAGGTCTATTAAAAAGGCATTGATTCCTACTCTCCTATTAATCTTCAAATATTCACCTCCCTTGGGAGCCTCGGAAGCCAGGATTGGCAAAATGAAGACATTCCTAGCTATTCCTGCACCGTGGTCCCGTTATCTCCCATTTGCCTTCTGTGCTGTTGCCTCCCGTGTTCAAGTAGTGCTAACACCTTCTCTGTTCTTTCTGGTTTTGCATTCTTAGCTATGGGGGCCACACCATGAGAGGGGCTCTTTATCTCCTTTTAGGAAATGCCTTCGTTTTTTAAGAAGAGGGCTGACTTCAGGCCTGAAACCACCAGGAAAACCAGCACCCAGGGAAACAAAGCCTATCTTTCTCCACTGCATCCCCCAGTGTGCAGACTGTTGGGCTGGTAGAAACTGCAGCCTCAGCAGTTCCGTCCTTGCTGGCCATTCAGTGCCTACCCTGGGCCAGCCTGTGTCTTTGGTGATAGTGCTACCACAGGAGCCGAGACCTCAGGAGAGGGAACCTCCCTGAGAGGAGCTAGTCACAGAAGACTTTCCGAAGGGACAGCTGGAGCGGAAACTCTGGGGGAGGATATGTTGAATTCGTGTAGCAGAGGAAAGGAATTCGTTCCATTTTAAGACCAGTGGGGATGATAGTTCGGAAGCTTCCAGTCCGAGCTAATTTACCCATCAGGCCATATAGACTGGGTGTTTAGGACCTAATTGCTTTTCAGGGAACATTGCAAATGTTTGAGATCTGAGAAAAAACACACAATAGCACATACGTTACTCCAAAGTAAGAAAAGAAAATACAAAATAGACGTCAATAAATGCTTCATTACCTGTCTGTAAAATGTAGGAACGTGGTCAACTGAGCACTCATGAACTTCTCATTACATCTGAAAACACTTGATGGATCAGATTTCTCACTTCATAAGAATCCCCAGGTACATACTGTCCAGAAATCATAGCCAGTCATTAATTAAATGTGTTGCTCATGGCCAAATATTTTGAAGAGCAAAATAATACATGCCACTTAACATTTTTACAGAAAAAAAATGTTATTGGGATGTGAGGACATTTTAATATAGTTAATATATTTAATATATTTAATATATTGTTATAATGTGAGACAAGGTCTCCAAAAGTGAGAGCGTCTAAGGCCAATGAAGGTTTTAAAACAACTCTAAAATAATAAGTACATTGTTCAGAACTGCTACCTTACCTTGCCCTTAGGTTCCTGTTTCGGATTCCAGCCCAGTGAACTCTGAAGAGCTTTTGCTGATTAGCACCGTGACTGACCACACACAAACAGAATTTACACACAGAACAGAAATTCCTTAAGCTCACAGACAAATGTAAAAGCAAAATCGAGAGTATCTGGCCTGGCTGGCATGGCTTAGTGGTTGAGTATCGACCTATGAACCAGGAAGTCACAGTTCGACTCCTGGTTAGGGCACATGCCCAGGTTTTGGGCTCCATTCCCAGTGTGGGGAGTGCAGGAAGCAGCCATTCAATGATTCTCTCTCATCATTGATGTTTCTATCTCTCTCTCCCTCTCACTTTCTTTCTGAAATCAATAAAAATCTAATTTAAAAAAATAGAGCATCTGAATTCCCATAGGAAGAACACTCTTCAACCGTGAGTGTGTGGAAGCTCTCTTTGGTTTCTAGGGGAGGCTGTGACTCCACCAGGAAAGGAGTTAGCTCCCTGGATGCCTTTGAGAGTTCTGTACCCGGGCCCCTCCTGGTGCAGCCCGGTCTGGGAGAAATGTCTTTGCATTTGGGGGCACTTTCACCCTCAGCCTTCCATTCTACCACACCCCCATCATTCCTACATAGGTGAACGTTGGGAAGACCATTAAAGAGAAGGAGTTGGAAATGGGGCTGAGGATGTAGAACTGGACATTCAAGGACCCTGGTGATGGAGTGAAAGGGGGCGAGGAATGGGTCTGTGAAGAAAGGTGTGGAAGATAAATATATTTAATCACCTCTAATAATTATAAGTTCCAATCACAGTGCATTCAGGGTCTCTTTCCCCTCCCCCCCCCCATTTTATCTGGGGAGAGCAGGGAAAAGGGGACAGAGGCAAAGCGAGTATTCTTTCCCTTGCCCTCCTTGACCTCCCTGTGGGTTTACTAATTGCCCTGAGGTGCATGGGTCTGCAGCTGCCTGCACCAGCCCTGTACCCGGAGGTTCAGCACTGTCTCTCTCCTGCGGGTGCCCAGGGTCTTTCCAACGCATCGAGTGCTGGTACCTCGCCTCTCCTTGCTGGGCCCTAGGACTGCCTGCTGTTCCCTGACTATCAACCTTATTTGCAGCTTCTCGACTGTTATTTTGAAGCCTACCAGCACACGCTGGACCCCGAGGAGAGGTTTGCCTTAGCACAAGTGATCACTGACATCATGCACAGAGGCCCCAGGTTTGATCTCAGCCACCCTTACTTCATTAAGGCCTACCGAGATGAATGCACCTGCCTGAGGCTTCACCAGCAGCTACTGAGGGGCATCCTCAACCAGCACGTGAGTACCGCGTCCTTAAAAACATTACCCGTGTGCCCTGCCCTGGCCGGGTGGCTCGGTTGGTTGGAGCATGGCCAGTGCATCAAGGGGTCACAGGTTCGATTCCTAGTCAGGGTATATACCCAGGTTGCCAAGTCAATCCCTGGTCGGGGTACATACGGGAGGCAACCAACTGATGTTTCTCTCTCCCTATCCCTTCCTCTCTCTCTAAAATCAATTTAAAAGTAACAAAAATTAAAATATTACATGTGAGAAGGGGAAGGAAAACATGGCCAGAACTGAAGATAGTGCTTTCCTTTCACTGTGGGCCCAGAATTTGGGTTTTCTAGGGCAGCATGTGCAGCATGTTTATTTGTAAGCTTATTTGCATTGTTGAATTCCAAGCATAGCTACAGTCTTTTTTTAAAAAAAAAAAATTTATTGATTCCAGAGAGAGGAAGGGAGAGGGAGAGAGAGACAGAAACATCAACAATGAGAGAGAGAATCATTGATCGGCTGCCTCCTGGAGGCCCCCTACTGGGGATTGAGCCTGCAACCCAGGCATGTGCCCTTGACCGGAATCAAACCTGCGACCCTTCAATCCGCAGGCCAACACTCTATCCACTAAGCCAAACCAGCTAGGGCATAGCTACCATCTTAAAGGGAGGTTCCTAACCCTAATTACATTTACTAGTCCACAAAGAATGGAAAACCTGTTTTCATTAGATGATAGAGCTTATTGGTAATGAAAGAAGGACTAAACATGCCCCTGTACAAGGCATTGATGTATACAACCGTGTTTATTATTTTTAATGGTGTGACTATTTTTAGGACTAAAGGGAACAATTACAGTGTATGGCGTCTGGGGGGAAGCTAGTGGCAGGAAGTAGAGGGGAGGTAAAGATTGCTCCAGTCCATTTACCTTAGGCCTAGTTAGACTTTTCTCCTTGCACTCAATTATTTGACAAAAAGAAGTTTTCTTGTGCTTCTTAAGATTGTCAGGAGCTGGTTGTCTTTGCTTCTCCTGGCTGACCCTGGGCTCGGACTGAGAGACCAGCATGTTCCTATATGAGCGGATCCTCCAAATTCTGTCTGAGTGAAAATTGGTCAAATAACGAAGAGATGCAAAGGGCTGATGTTTTTCTCATGCCAAGGCTCAGAACTCACATCCATGGGAAAGTTTAACTTTTCTAATTTCAATGTCTATGCGATATTTCTAGATAGAGCGGCAGCGGGAGTATGTCCAGAGGCTTTGGCAAGAAGGCCGTCCCGATGAGAGCAATAACTTTGGACTTCCCCTTAACATAATTTGCAAACAACTTATTTCCATCAACAATAGCTGGTAAGCTGGTGTTGTTTTTCGACATTTGACTTTTAATCCCCTAGATAAGTTAAGGGTATGATGTTAAGTCTGAACACTATTGCACAAAGCGCCTCTCAAGTATTTGGGGAGATGAGAGATTATCTATAAAAGCCACAGAAGAGGACTCCCTCGCACCTTCAATATCACTTGCTTTAAGTAATTAAGAATAGGAGGCTCAAATTTAAACTTACGCCACTGGGTGCAGAATCTTCACTTCCTTGAGAAAACCTAAAAAAAAATAGAAAAAAAGCAGTTGCTCTTGAAATGCCATCGGAAGATATGATTAGAGGTTGCACATAGCTGACATACATGAACCTTGATGTCCTTAAAAGTTTCTCAAAAAGGAATTTATTTTTTCTAGCAAGTATCACCAAAAAGGTTTCTGCAGACTCACCTTGTGGTCTCCCACCCCTTGAAGGAGCAAATTAAATCTCCCGAGACCACTCAGAGAGGGTGCATACTTTAAAACCCCCTTGATATGTAGTATGACCTCTCCCCTCCTCCCTACCGCCCCCACCCCCGTTCCCTTCCAGCCTCAGAGGGTAAAGAAGGAACTGGGAAGTGGTTGACAAGCCCCAATTTGGTCTATGTAACTTGAGATCACAATTTCTCTATGGCCTTCAAATGGGTGGGAATATTGTCCAGCTCCTCTCAGCATCCCACAAGTCTTTGTTGAGCAGACACACAGTAGGCAGTGCGCTGGGAGTGCACTCGTGTTCTCACCGATGGGAGCAGCAGAGGCATGGCCCTGTGCCCCTGGGAGGTGGACAGTGTGGCGCTATAGGCAGACCCTCGGTGGGAAATTCCACAAGGCTGTGGGATCACCTTGGGGACAGTGGGGTGCCAAGAGATGTCATAGCTGAGATTCAACCTTGTCTCTTGAGAAAGCGTCCTTGGGGTCCCAGGCACATGACTACATTTCCTCCACAGACATTTCTCAGGACTGATTTCTTCACTGTGATCAGCTTCAGGCACCGGCTGTGTATGTGAAACTTTCCGTGGCAAGACTCTCCTGTGTAGAAAATGGTTTTTGGCAGAACATGCTAGGCCTATATGGATACTAAGCCTTGTCAGAAGAGTCTCAAAAATAAGTGTTATTTGCTTGTTAAGATTCCTTTTCATCCTGAAGGTTGTATTTTTTAAGATCTAGGACTAAGAAGGATCCATTTGCATAGATTTAAAACATATTTCTATTCTTTGGTTCCATGTAGGAATACAAAGGCCCTTGACTTGTGTTATAGCCTCCATTTCCAAAGAAATACCCACAGACAAGTCTTTTATCATTTCCAGCCTCATTCATTTATAAAACATGCATCCTCATGGCAGACATGAATGATTCCCTTAGTACACAGAATTTAAAAATCATTTCTGTCCATTAACATTTTGGGGGAAAAGGAGGTAAAGACTCAAGTAAAAATAGAAACTAACCGTGGAAATTATTTGTTTACTATTTAGTCATTTTTAAGTTACTGTGTTTTCAAATATATTTTTAAGTGTTTTTACTGATTTCAGAGAGAGGATGGGAGAGGGTGAGAAAAATAGAAAAATTGATGAGAGAGAAACATGGATGACTCCTGCATGCCCCCTTACTGGGGATGGAGCCTGCAACCTGGTCATGTGCCCCAACTGGGAATTGAACCGTGATCTCCTGGTGTATAGGTTGACCCTCAACCACTGAGCCATGCCAGCCGGGCTGTTTTCAAATATTTGACTAAATATTGATTACTGAAATGTTGACAGGTTTGCTGTGTATATTTTAAGAATCTTACTCTTATTTCACTTTTAGAATAAACTCATATCTTCCAAGTTCAAAAGAGTTCATATGAAAGTAAAGAACATGTTGTATAATCTAAAGGGTTCCCCAGACGGCCTATGAGGCCCTTTCAAGTTCCTGGTTTGTTTGTTTTTTTAAAAAAATCTCCTGGCTTAAAGGAGCTGTTTTGCTGGTCTTTACAATTAGAAAATTCAAATGTTTTTGGAAAGAGAGTACGTTCTTCATTGTGTAAAATTGTCATTCTTTGCTCCTCTTTTAAAGCCCCGCATTGAAAAACATTCATCTGCTGGAGTTCCACCCTTCCCTGGGCCTGGCATCGCTCATCCCCAGAGCCCTCGAGCACCTCTTCCAGGAGGCCCGCCACATCTGCAGGCCTGCATCATCCAGCGGCCTCGCCCTGCTGGAGAGGCGGCTGCTACAGCTGGCCCTGGATGTGTGGCTCACCCCAGCCACGCACGAGTCCTGGTACAGCGCACAGCTCCAGAAAGATGTAGGTTCTCTGAAGGGGGAAGGTGGGCCCTTGGCGAAGGGAATGTTTCCTCCCAGATGTTACTACTTAGCTTTGCTTTTCTGTTTGGCTCTATTCCTCCCCTATTTGGCCAGAGACAGATCATAATCCTGGGCCTTGCCAGCATTTTTATGTGATTTTGAGGGGAAGGGGGTGTCAAAGTTTCTAGTTTATCAGGATGCTGCTACAGTGAAATTAAAAGGGAGATGTACATAGGTATGTGAGAAGTGTTTTCTGATTTATTATTTATATTTTAACAATATACATTTTTTATTAAAAATGATATGTTTTCTTTCTACTAAGACTCTTTCGAAAATTCACTCCTTTTGTCCTGAGCTGAGGCCTGGTAGGAGAGAGAGAGGACTGAATGTGGAGTCAGGGACCTGGACTCAAGTTCAGCCTTGCCATTAACGTGCTGTGTGCCTTTGACTGGGTGTCTTAGCCTCTCTGAGCCTCACTTTCCTATTGTGGAACATTATGTTTCTGTCTTTGAAGGGGAGTGGTGGTAGGTGAGTTTGATGACCTCTAAAGGCCCTTCCAGCTCTAATGATCTATGGTTCAAGCTGTGGTCCAATGACTAACTTGGTGTTTGCAGTTGGATTTTAATTCTTTTGTTTTTGGTTAAGGCTGTCACAGTTGAGCCTGGGTTTTCAGCTTACTTTATGTGGGCACTTGCTGTATATGAAAGAATTTTCAAGGGCCCCAGATGCCAAAAATATCTGTTTCATGTGTCTGGCTCAGCCTTCTATTCCCTCCTACCCAAACTAAATTTTTATTTTATTTTAAATTAATGTTAAGTTGATAAAAATAAATGATTCCTCATGTGCATGTTAAATTATAATCATACACTTCATACAATGCTATTTCCTATTTTTCTCAGTTAACATATTATGTATCTTTCTATATTACTAACCAGTCTTTATACTCATTTTTATAACTGCATAATTCTCTAAGTGATGAATAACTTACTTAACAATTTGCCTATTGATAGGCATTCAAATAAGTGTCTAAATTTTCAATATTATTTAAAATGCTATAAGGTACATATATCTCTGTACTTATAGATTTTTCCATATTTTGAACTAATTCTTTTTGATAAATTCTTGAAAGTGAAATTGCTGAAACAAAATTTAAGTCTTTGGCTAACATCTTGGCAGATTGCTTGTCAAGAGTATGCCAATTGGGGTGCTGAACACAAAATACAATATACAGATGATGTATTATAGAATGTACTCCTGAAACTTGTATAATTTTATTAACCAATGTCACCCCAACAAATTCAATAAAAATTGACAAAAAAGAGTTGTGCCAAATTGCAATGCCATCAATAATGTTTAAGAGTACCAGTTCTGCTACATTGTATAATATTAGGTGTAAGCATAGAATGTCAGTTCCAATATATACATATACGGAAAAGGTGGACTTGTTAATTTTTATATTTTTGGTATTTATTGTGATTAAATATTCATATAAATATCTGGTTATAAACTGTATTTTTGTGTGTGTGAATTTTCTGTTCTCTCTCTTTGTTTATTTATCTCTTTGAATTCTAATGTTATTCCTATCCACTCACATAAACTCTTCTTAAGTAAAAAACTTTAATCCTTTCATCCACCATGTTTTCTGCAAATATTTCCCCCAATTTGTCTTTTTATTTTTAACAGAAACTTATTTTTATATAGTTGATCTTTTCCTTGGTGATTTCTTCTGTCTTCCTAAATGCAGAAAGCAAATCTTCCCCCTAGATTTTTCATATTTCTTATTTTATTCTAATTTCTTAAGATTTTCATTTTATTTAAAAAATATTTAACCCATTTAGTATTCTATCTGGTGTGTGTGTGGTGTGAGGTATGGCTCAAAATTAAATTTCCCCTCAAATTACCAGTCATGTATCCTCCTATAATTTATTGAGGATTCTTTTCATTTTGTATTATGGTACCAGAGTGTTTTGTTGTTGTTGTTGTTAATCCTCACCCCAGGATATTTTTTCTATTGTTTGTTTGTTTGTTTTTTATAAAGAGTAGAAGGGAAGGAGGGAGGGAAA